GGGTGACTCACCTGGGGTCCCAGCAGGGGCTGCCCCCACTGGGTGTGGGGCCCCATCGCCTTTTGATGTTACTTTCCCTCCCTTAACACACAGGCACACATACGAGCTGGCCCTTCTGGTCTTCTCATGGCTAACTCCTCACTTCCCTCCAGGCTCTGCTGGGCCCTCGCTCTGAGCTCAGGTAAGGTCAGACACCTGGTGCCTTGCCTGTCTCAGCGCCTACTCTCTTCGCCCCATCATTCCATGCACAGCGCCCCCCGCCCCCTTCCAGAGCACTTACCACTTTCTAAAACTGCCCATCCCATTGCTGTGGGCTCCAGAAGATAGGAAAGCCCAGCCCTGCTGCATCCTGCCCAGAGTGTGTGCTTCACACTGAGTACTCCTGGTGATGGCTGTTAGCCACTGAGGCTGATTTGGACCTTTTACCACAAGGCTAATGCTTCACAGGTCATCTGCACGCAGCTGCCTCCCCACTTCACACCCCAAGTCAGCCTGTCCCCTCCAGCTGGCTTCTGCTGATCCATAACTGAGTGCTGACAGCACCCTTCCCCAATCAGAAACCTGAGCCTCTCAAGTCTTCTACACGCACCCAGCAGCTCACCTTCTCTGAATGGGCTCCTGCCCTCTTGCACCCCTCACCTTCCCTCTCCCTGTCCACAGCCACCTCTTCCTCCTTAACCTCTGGCCTCCAACCTACCCTCCCCACTGCTGCCAAAGTCACTTTTCTAACACGCAACTCTGATGCACCTACTCCAGTTTAAACTATACATTTCTCCAATGCCTCTTACAGGATGTCACCCCCGTGCCAACATCTGGTCCCTGCCTCCCCCTGCCAGCTTCACCCTTGCCACCTGGAGACCCTTCCAGGGCTCAGACCACACCAAGTGACCTAGAGTCTTGGCATGACATGGGCTGCTGTGTGGGCTTTGGAATCACAGCCCATCTGCCTGGAATGATGCTCCCTGCTCCTCAGGTAGACTGACCACTGGCCTTCTAGGGAGCTTCTGGGCTGGCACTATCTTGGGGTGCCTGGGGCTCATCTACAATTCCTATCCTCTCATGCACAAATCTCATATCACTACCCTGGCAAGTTTACTGTCTGGCTCCCTACCAGGTCTGGCTCTGTCGTTTTTGTCCCCCCACGTCTGTGGCAGAACCTGGGATCCAGATCCCAGGGGCGGAGCAGCTTGAAGGAAGGGGTGGGGCCTGCTTTGTGTCTGTAGACAACGTTTGCCCAGGAGAGGTTGGAAATCCCTAAGCCACACCCACCACTCATGAATATGGGTTTCCCAAGTAGGGGGCAAGGTTGGAGGGGGGGTGGCCAGTCAATTACTAGGAAGAGAAGGAAGCCAGAGGCTTTGGATTTTGTGGAGTTTGATAAGCAAACAGACCTAAGAGCAAGAGAAAATTAGCTATGAAATTGAAGGGACATTTGCCAACTTCCGTTTGATCTAATGGGAAAAAGGGCATTAGCTGATGTTAGCAGTTTGCAAGGTGGGGAAAGATGGGGCTCACATGATCAGGTGTTGGGAGCCAGTTTAGCCCACTTCTCACTGGCACAGGAGGCTCCCCACTTCCCCTTGGCAGGGCGCTCACCCTAAGGTTCCTGCTTTCACAACTGCTCCCAGGACCACAGTCTCCGCCTTAATGACCAGGACCTCTGTTGGCCCCGGAGTCCTTGGTTACTCTCTCCAACCTCCCCCAGTGCTAGCCAGAGCCTCACTTGGTCTGGCCCATGATTTCCCCACAGGACTGTTGGGGCTAGGGCCAGCAGAGAAGATGGAAGACAGGAACGGGCTTCCAAGGGCCAAACTTGTGATTAAGAAATAAGATGGTCTCTTAGGAAAAGTTAAAAGTAAGGGGGTCTGAGCCCAGCTGCAGTTGTCCTGGAGCGAGAGCAAACTGCAAGCGACAGGAAAAAGGATGGGAATGAGCAAATGCCGCAGAAGTTCTTGGAAAAGAGCCGCCACTGACAACGTCCTTAAGCTTGCAGGTCTTTAAAAAATTTATTACAAACCCATCAAGCGTTTGCGCGCGACAGAGGGGCTGCCTCAGGGAGGGCGGGTGGTTCTGTGGTCAAGTTTAGGTGGTGCACGCCTCCCTGAGTGTCGGTCCCCGGGCTGCGGACTCGGGGCAGAAGACACCTCCTCGGTTACCGTAGGGCGGTGCCCGCCGCACAGCAGGCGTCCAGTGTGCAGGGTCTGGTCTCCAAATCAGTTACCTGGCTCCGTGGGCAAATCACCTAATTTGTTAAAAAAAATAAACAACAAACAGAACCGAGGGGTTAACGCCACTGCGCGCGCGGCTCTTTCCAGCAGGAACCGGGTCGCACCCCGACCCGGCAGGCGGAGCACCCTGTGCCCAGGAGCCGCCGACAACCCGGGGCGACCCGCGCGCCTCCGGGCGGGCCCCTCCCCCGGGCCGCGCCCACCCTCCCGCGCCGCGGGGGACCCCAGCCGGCCCCCGCCCCCGGAGAGGGGTGTGACCCGCCCTGGCGCTGGGGGGCCGGGGACTGCGGGCCATGAAGGTCACGACCCTGGAGCGGCGTCTCCCGGCGGTCGAGCGTGCGTGTGGGGGGGGGTGCGGCGCCTCCTCGCGGGGGGAGTCGGGGCGGCGGGGGCGGGACGGGGAGCCGCCCCACGCGGGGCCCAGCAGCGGGCGCGGCCCCTTTAAGACGCCGCCCCCCCCGCGGCGCCGCGCACGTGACGCGGGTCTTGTGACCGGCGGGGGAGGCGCGCAGGGAAGCCGGGCGCGCCCGCCTCCAGAGGCGCCGACCCCGCCGCCGCCGCCGCGAGAGCGGGTCCCGCAGCCGCGCGTCCGGCGTCGGCCGAGGGGAGCGGGAGCGCGAGCGGGAGCCGGGCCGGGCCGGGCGCGGTGGCGCCGCCCGCCATGGACCACAAGCCGCTGCTGCAGGAGCGGCCGCCCGCCTACAGCCTGGAGGCCGGCCAGGGCGACTTCGCGTGCGGCCCGCACGGCTACGGCGCCATCCCCTCCGCGCCGCCCCCGCCGCCCTACCCCTACCTGGTCGCAGGTGGGCCGCGGCCCGGCGCGGGGGGCGGGCGGGGGCGGGGGCCGGAGGGGGCGGGCGGGGGCTTGGGGAGCCGGGTTTGGGGTGCGGGGCTCCCGAGCCGCGGCGGGGGGTGGAGCGGGCGGGGCGCCGCGCGGGTGGCCCAGGGAACAAACTTTGGGTCAAGTCCCGTGGCGACCTTTAACCCCAAAACTAACTTCTTCGGGCTCAGTGGCCGCGGGGGGCCGGGGGCGCGGGCCGGGCCCTCGCGAGGGCGCTGCCGCGGTGCAGACCTGGCGCGGGGAGTGCGGGCCGGGGGGCGCGGCGCCCCGGGGCGAGGGTTTGGGGGAGTCTTCCGCCCCCGGAACGTGCTGACCGACTCTGGCGTCTGGGCGATGCCCCAGGACCTCAGCCTGCCCGGGGGCGATCTCCAGCCCCAGGCCCGGCAGTCCTAGGAACAGCCAAGTTCCTGTTTCAAATCAGCTTTATGCGGAGGTGCTGTTGCAGAGTAGCACCCAGGTGAAGCCCACCCTGGGCACTTAGCGAGGGCAGCTGTGGTCTTGACTGCAGGAGGATGAGTGTTGAGTAAGGGGTGGGGGGCCGGTGAGAAGGGCAGAAGCGCTCACCTTCCCCCATTACCTCCTCTGCCCCCTGCTGATATGCCTTCCTGCCCACAGGGATACCCACCCATCACCCCAGGGTCTACAGCATCCACAGTCAACATGTCACCCGCTACCCTGCCAATTCCATCGTTGTGGTCGGAGGCTGCCCAGTCTGCAGGTATGTCACATGCCTGTCTAAGCACATTCATGCCCACAGCCTCATAAAGGAGCCTTGTGGGGGCAGCAGGACAAGCTGTAACCTGTCCAGTCGGTTCAGGCGTCCTGGTTCTGAGTGTTTCATGGGGTAAAGCGGGGTGGGGAGTTGAGTGCTTTGGGGGTCTTGATCCCTAGTGGGTGGACTGCAGAAATTTAAAGGGTCAGACTGACAGTCTCTTGGGTCTGTAGGTTTGCTCTGCATTTGCTTCTCTAGGGTGGGTAAGGTTTTGTTTTGCCAGGAAGTGCCCAGGCAGGAGCACCCTGGGGCTGGAGGTGCCCAAGGCCTGGTAGCACAGGCACGAGAGCTGCAGACCAGTAGCTGGATAAGGCGTGCCATGGCCCTTTGCTGCAGGAGTCATTTTTCATACTGTCAATCTGGAGTCGCCAGAACTTTCTGATGACTTTTTATAGCACCCAAGACCATTAGCTAGACACATACTCTGTGAGCATCCGAGGATTCGGATTCAGCGGAGATTTGGCCCCTGTCCTTAACAAAGGCCAGCCTTAGTCTGGAGGGAGGAAGTAGAAGTCTCTGAGGTGGAATTGAGAAATTTTGACTGAATTTCAAAATTGTATCTGGGCAGTCTAGAGTGGAGTCCAACCAATGCCTAATGATTTCAGAATGTGGGCGATGAGGGCTCAGAAGAGGAAGAGCATGACAGAAATGGGGGCAAGAGACTGCTTGCCCTGTGTCCAAGAAAGAGCCAACCTTGTGTCCAAGAAAGGGGGCAGTGGGCAGGAAGCCCCTTTGCAAACCCAAAGTGGGGTGTCTGACTTGGCTGGTGAAACTGACCTTTGGAGAATAAGGGTAGGGGTGGGGTGTGATTGTTCTGAATGCTGCTCTTTCCAGGTGGTGTTGGGGTCTGACGGCCTGTGGTGGGCTTGGACAGGAGGGGCTGTGGACTGGAAGGCCTGCTGTCTGCTGCAGGAAGGGCAGGCGCCAAGGCTTGGGCTCTGTGGGCCCAGATCCTCTGGACCTCCTGCATTGGAGAGGCAGAGGTTGCGACTGGTGTTTCTCTTTGCTTGGAGGCGGTTCCTGTGCCCAGACCCCTGCTGTGAGCACACAGGATGGCCCCCACTCAGACAGGTGGGGCACCAGGGTTTTCCAGGGCCTAGTTTTTTTGGTGGGGAGGGGTGTATTTGAGTGGTCTCCCGAATTTTAAGAGGGGTGTCTGGCTGGCAGAGCTGAGGATAGAGAGACCCCTGCCACAGAGGGGCACCCCACCATGTCTGCCTTGTCCCAGCAGTGCCCGCCTGCCCGAGAACCTGGGGCCTGCTTCCCCGTCTGGGAACTAGGGTGTCTGGTAGGATTACATGTGAGACCCTTGTCACCCAAGTCCTGAGCTTAAAGAAGGGGGACTGCCAGTGTGGCCCCTGTGGCCGGGCGGCCAAGATAGCGCAGGACTGTGGCACTTTCACTGCTGCTGCCAGGCGGGGAGCACTTGTCCGTGTCCTCCCTCCTCCTGTGGTGGGAGACCTGTGGATTTGGCCCCCAGGGGCCTCCAGTCCTGCAGAACATCAAGGTCAGGCTGCGCTCTCTGCTTTTCTGGGCGAGTCATAGGCGCGGGCCACCTGGAGGTGCTGGGGTGGGCCCCTGCATTGGGCACAGACTTCCCTTTTTTGGTTGGGATCCCGGCCTCCTGGGCAGTGGAAGGCAGGCAGTGAGGAAGAGTTGCGTGGGAACAGACACTCGGACTCCCTTCGCAGCATGTCCTCCTGGGGTGAGGAGCACGCCCCGGTAGTGAGGGGCCACTGGCACTTGGGTTCTTCACTGTGCTTGCCCTTGCCCTGTGCCCACGTGCCTGCTGAGCCCTTTGCCTGTGGGCAGTACGGGCGCGGGGTCCTCTGGGGAGCAGGAAGGAGGGGGCAGAGGGGTGCTTTGGGGGGTAGGTGTGCTGTCCCTAGACTGACTCCTCTCTGGGGAGATGGGAGAGGCCTCCCTCGGGCTCTGGCCGCGTGGCACTGACCATCTGGGTTTTCACATGACCAGGCTTCCCGCTCCCCGCCCAGCCTGCCCCGCTCTGTCCTCTGCCCTTCCTGATAGCTTGGCAGGAATCTGCCCGAGTCACAGGTCTATGGGTCCCTCCTGGTGTGGCCTGGCCCAGAGGCCTCAGTCCCTTGTCACTTTGCCGTCTGTCAGAGCTTCCCTTGAGCGGCCCGATGGCATCTTCTATTGTCGGCCGCTGCGCAGAAGCGTGTGCAGCAGATCACAGGTGTGCTGCTCATTCGCCCTTGCCCTGCCCAGGTCATGGAGGCCTCTCCAGCCCCTGGCTCTCTAAGGCTGCCCCTGCCTGAAGGAGGCTGTCCCTAGATGTGGGGCTGGAGCTGGGCCTGGCTGGTTCACCCTGGGCTGTGGAGCAGCCAGTTTTGAGGTTTATGTGCAGGTACGTGTGGAAAGCAGCAGGTGCGGGACCTGGCCTGCGCTGGCTGGGTGTCATAGAGTATTGAGTTTTGTGATAACTAGAGAGGTTGGAAGAAATCCAGGGACGCGCAGGGTCTTAGAAGGCAAGATTGAGGCTCATGGGATGGCCATCAAGGTCAGGTGCTGCCCAGAGGTCAGAGAGTAAGTCCAGGATAGGGCGTGGGTGGTTACTGAATAGTGCTGGGGACTCTGGGAGAACCCTGAGGCCAGAGGCAGACATCGAGTCGGACACAGGGCCCAGGCGCAGGATGGAATGTGTGGAGGCTCTGGAGAGGCGGGGCCGTGGAGGGGCAGCTCTCTGTTGGTGGGGTACCTGATCCTAGGCCTTGAGGCCAGGACCCCAGCCTGCCCTGGGGAGTTGGCTATTCTGGAAACAGGTTGACAGGATGGATCCTGCCCATGTCTGCCGCTCTGTGGGCTCTGTCTGGAGGGGCAGCCGACTGGTGAGCTGGTCCTCGTGCCCTGGGCTGCACTGGACAGGATGTGCAAGCCGTGGGGACCCGAGGCTGGCTGTCACCTGCTGACCCTCCAGGGGGAGCTGGAACCCTCCAGTCTGGCTGAGCCTGCGTGGTTCACAACGAGTCTGGCTGACCTGGCCACCTCGTGGGCCTCCCTGAGTCCGACCTAAGGCTCAGTCCCCACTGCAGGCATTTTTGTCCCTGGGCCTCTGCAGGGGAGGGGCTGACTCCAGGCCCCTGCCCTGGAGGCCTGAGTGACCAGGCTTGTCAGAACTACCCTGGAGTGGTTAGTGGCCCGAGAACCGCCCTGACAGGGCTGCTCTGCCGCTACGAGAGCCTGTTTGGAGTGGGGACTCTGGGACTCACTGGTGGAAGAGGTGCCTCTGAGGGTGACCTGGTCTCTGGAGGGGGCTAGTTGGTGCTTTGGGGCCCCAGGCTGCTCCCCTTCTCCCGGGAGGCATGTTCTTCCAGGGAGGGCTAGCCGGTTTAGGCAGGATGCCGTTTCCAGGCCTCCCGCTCGGGGGAAATGAATTATCTGTGAGCTGGGAGGGCGGTTGGGGCAGGGGCGCTGCCGCGGAGGTGAGGTCTGGTGTTCCAGCCGGGAGGTCCTGCTCTGGCTCCACTTCCTGTAAGGGGCTCAGATGGCACCTGGGAGGCCTCGCTGGGAGGAACAGGGGAGGCGGTGGGGACAAGACTCGTCCTGGCCTGCCTTCCTCTGTGAGGCGGGCGCCCCCACCGGCCCGGCCCCAGGCAGATGTCATCTGTCAGGACTGGCGTGGCCGCCGCTTCTCTGTAAAGTTGGCTCAGCATTAGTCAGTTCTCTCATTTCTCCAGCTCCCATGTCCCTCTTGGACCCTTCCCCTCACGTGACCTGTTGCCTTTTTAGCATGGGGACGGGCCTTCCAGCCACAGCTGGGACTTCAGTTTCGAATCTTTGCCGGTTGATGGAATTGAAACTTGTCCTGAAATGATTGGGCTTCCTGGGGGCATGCGCGGCCCTTGGGTTGACCTGGCCAGAAGGAGGCAGCTCTTGCCCTGGGGCGGGGGTCTCCCCTCTGGGGGGCTCGCAGGGGGGCCTGCCTTCCAGCCTGTGGGCTGCTGCCTCAGAGACCAGGGGCCAGATGTTTTTCTCAGTTCAGATTATTTTAGATTTAAGAAAACTGTAAATTATGCCAACACCCTTCTAAGGGCTGGGGCCATCCCCACGGTCAGACACTAATATTTCTGCAGTAGAAAACGAGCACTCGCCGTAAACGGATAAATTAAGACTATAAATGGTCACATGTCAGTTCAAGTCCTGTGTGGCTGCCAGGTGAGTTTGCTACATGCTTCTAAAGAGGTTCTGCTTTCAGAGATCTTTGTCATTTGGAATTGTGGGTAAGAAGGGGCGGCTCTTGGGGTGGTGGTGTGAACACCTGCTTGGAGCCTCCTGCCGCCTCAGCTGGAGTCCTCCTTGGAAGGTGAGCTGGGTCTGGGCACAGACTCCTTGGCAGGGCCTGAACTTGATTTAGCTCCCTCTGTGCCTGAGGAGAACCGTCCTCACTCTGCCCAGGGACATGGTGGCTTGGCAGGTCCCTGCTGGGGGAGTGAGGATCTTCAAGCCCCTCCTCTTGACTGAAGGAATCAGACTCAGGTCCTAGCTGCCTGCTGTGCTGTGGCTGGATGAGTGACGGGCCGGTGGGGAGGAAGGGGGGGCGTCCTCCAACCTGGGACCTGGGGTAACTGGTCATCCCGTTGTGTCCATCGTTCTGCCTAACTTGAAGGAACTCACTCCCGAGGCTGGGAACATGAGGTGCTGCTCTTGTGGCAGGGAGGCCTGGGATGAGCGACCAGCCTTCCTGGGCCACCTCCAGCTTTAGACAGTGTAGACCAGGGCCTTGAGGTCTGGGCAGAGAATGAGGGGTAGGTGGAACTGGAACTGCAGCCCCATAAGGCTTGGTCCCAGGATGACTGGCAGACGGATTGGTTCATGTGGACATGCACTGGGGCTGGGGGGAGACCCTGCCTTCTGCACTGCTTGGGGGACTGTACCACCCCAGAAGTCTTCTCCAGCCAGGGTGCTTGTCCCCCTCCATACCCCACTCAGGGCCCTGAGGTCAGTAGTGCAGGACCCACCCTGACCCAGCCCCCCCACCTCCCCCAAGGTTTTGGGAGCCTTTGAGCAGACACACTGGGTTCTAGGCGTCTCTGCACCTGCTGGTGCGGGTGGCCAGGCGTGAAGCCCTCTGCTTTCTCATTGGACAGTCTGACTGGAATGTGCAAAGGTGATTGTTGGGATTCCAACTGTAGGGAGACCTGGTTAGGGATGCCAGGCAGCAGCAGGAAATGCAGTCAGGATGGTGTGCGGCTGCCTGCCCCCTCCAGCCGCTCTGCAGGTGACCTAATTAGTGTCGGTTGTTGTAGGAGCTGTTGGTCATGACCGTGGACATAAGTGGGGTATCAGGTCCATCTCTGCAAGGGGACGAAGCTAGTGGCTCAGGGCCTTCCTGAAGCCCTCCACCCCCTACTTGTGCAGCGTGGCCTCACGTGCCTTCTCAGCCAGCCCTCACCTGCCTGCCACCTGTGTCCTTGAAGCTGCAGCGGGAGTGGTGTGGGCTTGGCACACGGTGACACCAGAAGACATGCATGCCTTTCCCAGAATGGACCAGAGCAGCCCCTCTTCCCTGTAGCTTTTCGGGGAGACTAGTGTTTCAGGATGAGCACCCTGGAAAATGTTCTACAGTGTGCTGTCCCTTGTAGGTGTGTTGTAGGCAACTCCCCTGGGGCAGGTGGGCATGAGTGTGGCTATGTCTTTAAGCAGTTGGAACCTAGACTTCCCCCTCCAACAGCTGGCTTTCTCTCTCAGCCCCTGGTGGAACGGGCCCTGCTGTGGTCCCGCGCCTGGATGTGGGCAGAGCCATCCTCTTGCATCTCTGCCCTGGTGTCAGAGCGGCCTGGGGCAGCGGTGCTCACGGGGCTGTCTGAGAAGGGCGGCAGCAGCAGCTCTGGCGCTGGGAATAGAGGAGCCGTTTTATACCCTCAAGTCTTGAGGCGTGTTTGACTTTTTTGTTTATTAAGCTGTGACTTTACTCCGTCCACATAGGCAGCAACACGAGGAGCAGTTGCTTCCAGAAAGTTATGGGTAGAAAAGATCCTTAGGGTTTGAAGAGGGGTTGGAGGAAGTGGCTTTAGAAAGACTGCGATGTTGGGGTGAAAATGTCAGGGGAGTGGAAAGGGATCCTTGGAGGCCAGTGAGAAGGGCTCCCCCTTCAGCAGTGCAAAGGTAAGCTCTGGAGAACTCTGGCTGCCTTCCTGGGAGGCGCTGCTCCCTGCCCTCTAAGGCCCTGTGGGTGTGCACCTGCGCCCTTGAAGCCAGCAGACCCTCCTGGGTGCTCAGCAGTGTGATCGGCAGCCTTAGTTCTGGTGAAGCGCCAGAAGGTCGGGTCTGCGTCCCTGGAGCCTCCACCACAGACCCTCACAGTGTGGGGGGTCCAAGTCTACCCCCAACCCCCATCTTCCCTGGCCCCTGAGTCTGTGTGGTGGAGTGACACGTCTCTCAGTCGGGGTGAGCTGGCTGTCTGGGTTCTCATTTCAGTTTCAGGTCCACGTACAGAACTTATCAGAGGTAGCTTAAAGAGCAGGGATTGAGATGAGCACCCCACCCACCTTTGGGTCCTTGGAGAGTAACCCTCGCACCCGACAGCCTCAGGTCCCTGGACCCAAACTCCCTGGCTGATGATTTGGGTCGTGTCCCCGAGGGTCTGCCTTCAGGGTGCATGATGTGCGCTACCTGCACACCCCGCCCTTCTTTTTGGAAGAGGCGCTCTGAGGAAAAAGTTCTGAAAGCCTTGCGTCAGGTTTCTAGACAGTGTGTGAACATGTTTCATTTGTCTTTCTCTAAAACCTGCCGCCCACTCCCACCCACCCAGAACAAAATCCCTGTCACTGATTTTGGAATTTTTCCCCCCTCCTTTCCCTGATTTTGGAATTTCTAAGGGATGGAAGAATAAACCTAAAACTTTCCCCACACTGGGAAAAAAATACCCTAAAACAGGGTTTTCTTTACCTTATTTTCAGAGATGCAGGAATTTTATAGAAACCAGCATTTGTTTCTTGTCCCTGATTTTGTAAGAAAAACCGTGGCACAGTCTGTTGTCAATAACTGAAAGTTCTGGCCTTTGTAAGTCAGCCACGAAGCCTCTCGAGTCATCCTCCCTGCCTCTGCGTGGCAGCGGGCTCGCAGTGGGCTGCAGGCGGCTCTGGGCCCTGGAGCCGGAGGGCCCTGCTGCGGAAGGCAGGCCGAGGTCAGCGTGGATCCCCGCCTGGTCCCTACGGTCGACGGCGGGTCGGGCAGGGATCTGGGTCAAGGTCCGGTGGAACAGCAGGTCCTGGGCTGTGGCAGGGCCCTAACCTACTGCCTCCTCCTCTCTCCTCACAGAGTCGGCGTTTTGGAGGACTCCTTCACCTTCCTGGGCATCTTCTTGGCCATCATCTTGTTCCCCTTTGGGTTCATCTGCTGTTTTGCCTTGAGGAAGCGAAGATGCCCCAACTGTGGTGCAAACTTTACTTAAAGGGAACAATACACCTGGCTTTCCTACGTCCAGCTATCTTTTTCTAATGTAAATGTCGTGTACAATAGCTTTATTTGATTAAGCTTCAGGACTGTTTTGTAAAGTGGATAGTCGGACCTGTGTGAGCCGAGGTTTGGGGGCACAGGGGGCACGGAGTGTGGACAGGCAGCACTGCTCCTGGGGTTAGTGACACCACTCAGTAAAGCGCTGCTTTTATTTTTTGCAGTCTGCAATTTGAGAAAGGTGAGAAATACTGTTTTAAATAAATGAGATTCATACCACTGTTTATCTGGTTCTGCTCATTCACTGTCACCTAGGGGAGAGGATGACTTGCCATCGCCCATCTGGATCGTGTGGGATTCCTCGATGGGCATTTCCAGCTCAAGAACATGTGCTTGTTTTCAAGTCCGTTTATTATTAGAATGAAACATAACACCTTGACATTCACAGAGCAGGCGCTTTGGCCTAAGGCAGGCCCTCCCAGCCTGTGTCAGGCAGGTAGGTGACCCCTGTAGTTCCATTCTGTGACCCCCCGACACAGGCGGGGTGAGCCAGTGGGCTTGCAAATTGCATTGACTCCTGAGAACTACTCTTAGATTCCTGCAGCAGAGCCAGAAGACCCGAAGAGCAGGCTCTAGGGGCCCCACCCAGTTGCCCTCATGAACACACTTCTAAACCCTGCCCTGCACTCCTTCCCATTGCGCATCTGGTCACCTGCTCTTAGACGGTGAGGAGACCAGTGCACCACTTAGTCTGTTTTCTATTCTGACTGGATCAATCTCTGGAGTGTCCTGGAGGGGAATAAGTCCTCACCCTGATTTACCTGCATTTGACCTGGACCAAGTTCAAACTCATAGCATAAAGAAGCTAGAACAAAGAACCTGCTCCTGCCCACACAGTGAGGGGCCTGGCTGTGAATTTTATTTACCATCTCCACGCCTCCAGAATAGGATCTAGTCCCTGATCGCCAGAGACAGATCCAGCCAGGCGCTGGTTCCCTCCACAGAAGCCGGACTCCCAAGTGTGTGATGCTCGGTCTCAGCTGGAATGCAGACTGGACCCAGCCCACAGAGTCCCGCTGGCTTCGTAAGTGCTGCTTGCAGCTCAGGATCTGCCTCAGAAGGGCAAATTTGGATCCCGAGAAGTTTCGAGTCAATTCGTGATGGAGGCAGTTTTGGTCAGCTAGCTCGGGCTT